TCCGAGACGTAAACCCAGGAGAGCTAGGTTAAAAAAAAAACAGAAAAAACCATCGCTGGGAGTCATGTGCTGCACGTGTTGTGTACAAATCGTCTAACAAACGTTTGAACTTCTGACATTGACTTTGGACAGCCGCCCCCCATATCGCCCCCCTACCGACCTCTTCTTCCTTATCGCCCCCCAAAATCTTTCCACCGCCCCTAGGGGGGCGATATCGCCCACTTTGGGAACCACTGCGGTAGACTGACGGGCGTCCACACAATCAAACTTTCCTCAGTCTTGTGCGCTCGCAGCAATGGAGGATCTAGTGCTGCTCGCTGCAGTGATTGTAGTTTGTGCCACCAAAATTAGGTTAGAGCGATGCAAACGTACGCGGTGGTCCAGAAAATGGTTTAAAAAAATACCACAATGAGGGTTGATAGACAGCATCCCTACCAGCACCAGACAGCATTGACGACTTCATTTTGGCACATTATTTTCGATAAATAGTTTATTTTCTTCGTTACAAAGTCTTTGTTTGCGGTAGGATCAACTTCTTTGTGCTTTGCACTTAGCAATCAATGCCGCATAGGCCAGTGCTCTTTTGTTCTTGTCACTGTAGCTTTTTGATTGAATTTACCACAAACAATGGAGTACGATATAATTCGATAAACTCACCAAAAGAAATCGTGAAACCAGTGTCGGATATATTGATTGTCTTGTCGGTCAAACCTGGCATGACATGCAAGACTGACGATAAGTTTGAGCGCGTGGAGTCGTGGACGGGGCTTTAGTGCAATACTCGTGCTGCCACGTGCGTCATCGTTCACTGTGGCGTTTTCTTAGTAGAAAGCAGTAGGGCGCTTGGTATTCACGCTAATTTTAAAACGACACAGACAAAAAAATCTGACTATGCTTTCTGCAGCAAATTGTAAATAAGAAGGTTCGCGATAGTTTAATCAAGATCGCTAACGATTTGACTGTTATTTGCATGCAGACTGCAGAGGTTGCTGCAAGAGTGAGCTTAAAAATTTCGGCTCAAAACTTGTCCACAATTTCAGCTCAAAAATGTCGGGAAGGTAGCAAACCTCAATACAACTCCTATTTACTTATAATCCGACTCAGCTGAAAACTCGATTCGGGAATAACAATGAAAGATCCTGTTTCCGTACAAATATTTCACAGATAATTGTCTAGATTACGTAACAAAAACATGGATTATTTTCGGGAACGCAATCGAGTCTCATGCAGCATATGCATAACTTCTTTAGACGTGTATCTTTCTGACCATGAACAAAATTCGAGGTCGTTACGTCCATCGTGTTCGACTTCAAAATCCTTGTGCGGCTGTAATGTTTGCCTGGAATTCCATCAACATATAAAAAAAATTGCTAGCTTTGACGGCGTTGTCGAGAGTGATGAACTATCAGGCAATTTTCCAACGAATGAGATTGCTCAGGTGCCGGGTCTGTCGAGTTGAATGTAAATTGTTTTTTACATAAAATTCGTCGAATTTTATGATATAGCAAAGCGAATCAATTTAGAGAAGAGATGGATTATTATATGACAATGCTCTTTCACGTAACTAAACTTTAGTCTATTAAAGGTATTTCAGGCAAGAGAATACACTTTCCAAAAAGATATATCTAGACATCATATCTTACCTAATTTATACCTACTGATGCTGCTCTACTGTTGCTGAAACCAACGATTAGTGATATAACTTCAGTCTCAGTAGAATCAGTGGATGAATTTTTGAAGCAAACGAAGCTATAGCTATCTTTGTACTAGACTTGGTAATTTCGTCCAATTAAGTAGCCTCAGGCTAGAGGTATGTATGCCATAGCATTCGCAGTCTTGCATGTTTGACTCGCTTGACATAATACAGTATCTATTGGAGAAAATAACCCATTCGTCGATGTCTCGACGGAATCGACACTACTCTGACATGAGGACTCTGGAATTGACACTTCTCTGACAGACCTTGAGTCCGCTAACTCGCCAGCGGACTTAACATAAAAAATTAATTAAATTATACGGCATTCAGATCTGTGAACGTATCTGCTCGAAATTTGAAGTAACTAATTATCAGCAATGCGCCAAGACGGTAATTTTTGGAGATTTTTACGTCACTGCGTTTCTAAATGAAACTCAACAAGTTTTAAGTCCCACAATTCTGAACGGATCTTCTTGAAATTTCGGAATATAAGTAATAACTGACGATAGTAGCATATAGCGCTTAGATTTAGATCACAAATGACGGTCGAAGATTCCATTGATGATTGTTCGGGTAATTTGTGCACGTTCTCCAAGTCTTCATTGTTGATAACATCAACGTTCGGGTAAAATGCTTGGTCAATTGAGTTCGGATATGATTCTGGCTCTGATTCGTCAATTTCGACTTGGTTGACTTCAACAGTTTCATTTGTATAAATATAATTTTGTTGAGAGATGCGATCTAAAACAGACTTTTTACTTGCATCATTCACTACCCTAGAAACAAATCTAGGAATGCGAGAAATAATTTGTTTCTTATTCCTTGCGGCGGCCAACGGTGTAGAGGACCAAAAGTCTATAGCCTCCTTTACATCATTGTCGATCCTTATTATCGAAGCATTCCCATCACTACCTTGTTTTATCTCTAGCTGTTTCTGTGCCTCTGAGATCAGCCGAACTCTTATCGGGATCCGCGATTTTTGTTTCCGAAACGGTGTTTCACTTACCGCATCAACTTCGCGGCATTCGTTTCGTTGCTCAAACGAATCACTTTCTGTTTCTCCATCAACTTGAATCCCTCCTCTAGTGAGTTTAGTCCTTCATCTTTGATGATCATGTTCGCCACGCCTTCAGAAATGGTCGCTATAGGAGACTCGTCTGTAGAAGGTGAAGCTCGAAAGCATTTCGGAAACGTTGACCAAGTCGTTCCGTTAAGAATAGAATGCGTAGCTGTAGAGGCGTAAAGACGCTTGAAATATCGGCGTTCATAAGAGCTGCTGCTCCCTGGTCCTGCATGATCACAACGTGCTTGCTTACTTGCAGAAAGTTTAATCCTTTTCCTTTGTCGTTTATGATGGCTGTGCTCTGGGGGCGTTGAATTACAGAGTGACTTTAGGTGGCTTTCCCTTGTTGAAAACGTTGCATTAAAACAATATCTGACTGTAGGCACTTTTTCAAATTCCATTTCAGCAATTTTTTAGCAATCATTCACTGCAAATTATTTGATTTTTTCTTGGACACAGACCAAGAAGTGAGTCGTTACTGAGTGGTTCGGCGTGAATTTTTATATTTAGTTCTGATAAGTTTCCATGTACTCGAATCAACTCGAAGCACCGCACTGAACGCAAGCACTTCACGAACTGAGCAAACGTTCTTTCTTCTACCAAAATTTTGCTCAAAAACTACCTGCATCCTGATAGGATCAAAGAAATGGACGAAAGTTAAACTTCGAACGAGTGAAAAACAAAGGCAAAAGACACTGAGAAAGTGACCTGGGGTTCCGAGTCGGTTGATTTTTTTTCTTCCTATAATTATACCCTTTATAGTTAGACACGCTGCGGGCAGGAAAGTCCATGTCTTACCAGACCTTTGATCGCGTTCTCACATGTTTTAAATTAGCTGGTGCTGCATGTTGTTCTTTACAATTTGGTCTTTTAAATGCCACAGTTGTTAAAAAGTTGCGAAAATAGGAAAAAAATCTGATTCACCGGTTCTCGGAATTGTCCATAATTAAATTCGCTCCGGCAATGTTCCCAACTATCCCATGCAATACTGTTCTCGATTCTTAATGTTCGGTTACAAAACAAATTACTTCCAAGACGACCCTATTATCAGTTAACCGCCAACTTTAGTAGGTGTTATCTAATTTCGAACACTCGGTTTGTGGTTCGTGAATTCCGTAGAATAGAACAATTTATTCTCAGAACGCAGCACGACATCTTTGGTACACAGCAGCCTTTCCGCTTTTCAAAGATGCCTCGTCGTGAGTCGATCTGTTCTGGAGCCTTGTGAATATTTGGTGTTTGTGAAACGCTGATATTTCACAAATTTTTGAGGAATGCTGAGCATTGAATGAAACTAAGTTCTAAGAACGTTGTAAGGATTTAGTCATTTATGCTACAAAATAGCGGTTATTCCTACAATACGGATCTAACTTTATTGCGGACCGGAACTTACTAGGGACGAGTTATTTTAGATATCAAGGTTGTTGACTTTACGATCTCATCCTCGTCGGAAGTCTCCTTCTGATCCATATATCATTTGTACATACTGATTGCTGCTGCTGTAATAAAGATTACGTGGGAACTCGTGATCTATCTCCTGTGATGTGCCAAAGCTGATGTAGAGAACCCAAGTGAATTATTACAAACGTTCATCTAGGATACTGACTGATCGAATCAATAAAAGTCGATAAAAAATCTCCACGGCTGATTTAAAATCATTTTTATTTGTCCACTAAGATCCTACTCTTAATTATTGAAACGATTACAAATTGAAAGCAGAAGGAAATGTTTAAAATATCTACACGATCGTAAGGTAGGAGTTTGGTTAGTTTTGCAACACGTGCTCGTCGTCGCCTTGAGGGACAGCGTCGCGAGCGTCGTCAGGACAGGCGCTGCAGCTCGTCTCCGGCTGCGTCTGCTCTTGACGCCATTTCATGCGTCGGTTCTGGAACCAGACCTTCACCTGAAAAAAATATAACTCAGTACTCACTGCAGTGAGTGACAGATAGCGCATTTTCTCGTCGACGAAAACGTGAAGTAACGGACAGACAGACAGACGGACGGACATGACGAGTACAATAGTGAATATTTTCCATAAGTGAGAAAATGCACTAATAAGAGAAGTTTACCACCAGAAACATTTAAAGAGAACAAGACTATAAATATCTTCATGAATTATTCGTTGCGGAACAAAAAGTATTTTATGATATGAAAACGATGGATAGGCGGTCGTCTTCCTTAATGACCGAAGTTCCGAACCAATATGAAAGTTTTTTCGCGTTATAATCAACGCCAAAAGCTTCAGATTCATTATTTTTAGTATAACACGCATCTACACGATAAAATTATTTTAACCGAGGCATCTGAAACTGGAACGTAGTGTGAAACCACCTATAACATTCCGCTGCGCGGGTGATTTTCTCTGACCTGAGCGTCGGTGAGTCCGAGTGAGGCAGCGAGCTGCTTGCGGTCAGGCTTCGTGATGTATTTCTGGTCACTGAAGCTGAGCTCGAGACCCTTCCTCTGCAGGCTGGTGAACACGGCTCGACTCCAGCTCTTCTTGCGCCGCTGCTGCGAGCCCAAGCATTCCATACCTGCTTCACAAAATCAATCGTTTATGTTCATATAAATTTACCTATTATTTACTTACTTATTCTACGAATAAATTCTCGTGATGTCTATTACAAAATTTCGACTATTCGTAAGTAGATGCTGTAATGTGTTATATAAACACTCGCATACTCTTAGGGTTATGCGTATTGAAGAATCTGCCTGAACATAACCCCAGATTTGTGTGTAAATTCAATTTGGAAAGTGAAAATAGGCCCATGAAATTTAATTCACAAACCTGTGTTCAGGTTCGAGCCACGACCAATTCTTTGAAGTGTGCATCGTGCACCTCTTCCACTAAATAACTGCCATCACATCCAAGCAACTAGACTCGATAATCAGTTTTAATCATCTGTTGATATAGAAAGTTTCTGTTGCATAAATTATGATAATTTTTTTCGTTGCTAGTGATCCAATCCTGAGATCTACGGCTTTTTAACTTATAACTTTTCAAAGAAAATTTGAAATTTTTTTAGTCATATTGTCTAATGATTTCACCGCAAAAAAAATCGAATGTTATTGAAGCAATTCTGTTTAAAATCCCGTCACCACGAATGTATAGCCCCTATGCATGTAAAACACAAGCCAGGCTTCAAACAAACACACACAATTTTACAAACGTCTTTATGTAGGATATTATAAATAGCGGTTCATCAGAATTGCCTTACGGTCAGGCATTAGTTACCTGACTATATATACTCGTAGCTATCATTGCATTCAAGTGTTATCATTTATATTGTTTCATCACGCTTCCACAGCATTCCCATGTAGAACCAAAATGCTTTGTGAAATCTTATTATCTTCTTGCCCATCTCTAATTTCTAATGCTGCTTACTTTATATTTATACACTGCAATCAAAAGTGCATCGTCATCCGCGACAGGCCAATCAATAATCGAAGACTTTACAAATTCAATTCATGGGAACCTATTTTGCCAGTAGCCAATCCAATGATCGCCTGCATGCAGACATGTGTGTACAAAAAATCATTACGTGCGACCCCTCATTGACTTTTATCGCTGCAGAAAACAAACATTCAAACAAACTGAAGTGTCGTCGCAAGAGAGGCGTCAAGTTCGTCGACCACCCATGCATGAGATCCTGAAAGATCGATCTCGTGGGTTGCAGAAATGGCAATTAGCAAATTAGCAGCATCGCATATTACGGGAGAAATTGCGCATTTAACTTTGTTAAGTTAACAAATGGCATAGCATAGTATTGTCGGCGTCAGCTCTTAAATAGGCCTGATGTGGCCTGTTGCCGATTCTTGTACTTTTCGTGACTTGTTCACAGGAGATCTTAAAACAGTAACTGCGACCAAATCTTTTCAAAAAAGATGTTTATTTATTCAAGGTTCTAGGATTAGTCAGAAAAACTCAAAGGATTACACAAGTGTATCGCAGTCACACTTGTATCGGTTGCGGCATTAATGCTATGTATGTATATAAAGCATTATAAAATCAGCGCAATAGAATGAGATAACAATAGAGTATCATCACACCAGCAGTTTGTCATCACAAGTGAGTGATTATACCAGTTTAGCGGCATCACACCAGCAGTTTAGCAGCATCACACCTGCAGTTAATGTCATCACGAGTGAGCGATTATACCAGTTTAGCGGCATCACACCAGCAGTTTGAGGCATCACACCATTTGTGTATGCATCACTTCCTATTCGCCGGCTTTCGAGTAAATGTTTAGGTTTGAATGCTGGCAATTGCGGTAGAGACACACCAAATGGCCGAGATATGCGCTACTGAAGCCATCTGAGGTGCCATAGAAGTCTTCTAAACGTTTATTTGAGAGGCGAAGAAAACTTAATTTGCTCCTTGCAAATATTTGCCGCTAACTTACGAATGATCGGGAACGCGGTAGCCTCACAATAGTCTGCATCACACATGACTTACCGCTCATATCTTAATTTTTAATGCTGCTTACTTTATTTTTAAACACTAGGAATAAATTACCAATAGTTATGGGATTTATTATTCTTCGAACAAACATCAATTTATTACATGGAGAAATTGTTCGATCCATTAAAGAATAGATGCATCATTTCGATGGGTCGATTGCTATTTCGATGGATCGAACGCGAAGAATCGATCCATCGATCATTTCGATGTGTCGAAGAATCGAGTGTTGCTATTTAAATTTATTTCGAACGTAGACGTGCTCGTAATTCATCCTCTATCTAATCTCAACGACGAGTAATTGATCTTAAAACAAATTATTCGTCATATCATGTGAATTATTTTATCTCCCATCATTAACACGTTCTTTTTGAAACAAAAGATGCACGTGTGAGCTACAATAAATTTATGCATAATCGATGATAGTTGTTTAAAATTTTCAGTCAAGTGTTGGATAATTTCCGACTTATGGATTCACGCTGGGATGACGAGTCATCTAAATATTCCAAGAATTATTGTCTGGCGAATAATGGTCATATAGTAGATATTCGAAAATTTCAGAAATCTCGACTGTATTTATAGTGGTTTTTAATATTTGTTTCACAACGCCTCAGAAGGTGTTAAGTATTACATGATTTGTTTTCGTCGTATGAATCGAGTCACTGATTTCATGAGTCGTTTCCCATGTTGATCAAAATGCAACACTGGAATGAATGTTTGTTTTCTGAAATAAACACCCAACACTTCAGAATTGGTATTTTTAGTCACTTAGTAAGTTCGTTTAAATTTTTAAGGCAAGTTTCTCATCAAGTTACGTGTGTTGATCTTCCAGACAGCGAATTCAAGCAGAAAATGAATTATTTTCGTTGACTCAACATGATTTTAAAACGGTTTCGATTATTTTTTATACTATGGACAACCAGGATACTTGACTCGTTTGCTCGCATCGGCGAAAGTTAGTATATGATATCAGGAACTGATAGCTTTAACATTCCAAGACATAATTAGTTGTGCGTGAAAATCCTGATCTAAATAATATACTCACCGTGAGTTAAATTCCTGGTGTCCAGTGAAGGCTCCCCCAGTCTCGCCCTCAACAAAAACTCATCAGTTGCAGGATGCGATCGAACCAGCGGGATCGGTCTCAGCACGCCATCATAGACGCTCAGCATTGGTGGCGACAGTCCCCGCACCAGCGGTGAAAAATGTCTGTCCACAAGACATTGAAAGGTGTGAGAACATAGCCAAAATTTGGATGATTCATGAAAATTGTTATCATCAATGACGGTTGAACAAACCGAATGTGTTAGCATAATTATCGTTTTTAAATGATAACAAAGATCACCTGGAAAGTGGCCTTACAGGCCAAGATTGTGGCTCCCAACTTCGCTCTTGGGGCAAAAACTCGGAATTAAACCCGAAAGGCAAAGTTGGCGAACGGTTGCTCACTGAATACGACGTACACTGGAAAGCCGAAAGTTCACTTGCATTGAAGACTCTGGCTATATGTATTGGTGGCGGCGTTGATAACTTCGTTAATGGGAAACTGGCTGCATCTAAAACAAATTTTTTACACTCAGTTAGTGCCTGTTTAAACATCAGATAGAGAAACAAACGAAGCTATAATAAAAAGGTGATTCGATTCAATCTGTTTCATGACACTCCTGATAATAGTCCTGATAATACATTTTAACAAACATGCTCGAGTAAACAAGGGACTCACTTGCATAGGATGTGTTCCGGGCTTCAGGTTGCAGGATCCTAGTTACGCTGAAGCTGATTTTTTGGCTGTCTATTTCTTTGCCGGCTTTGACAGAATCTTCACCACTTGTGGTGTCGTCTGTGATTTCGTCTTGGTATTCGTCTGACATCTTGAGCCTATCCATTCAATAATAATTAAGAGCTAAAACTCAGCGTACAGAACCAAGCATTTGATATTATATCACTCTGGATAATGATATAAAAGTTGTAAAACATTTTGTATTATGTCGATTCCCAATTTGATATTAAAAAATCCGAAAAAATATAACTCAGTACTTACTGCAGTGAGTGACAGAGAGCGCATTTTCTCGCCGACGAAAACTTGAGGTCACGGACGGACGGACAGACAGACAGACAGACAGACGGACATGGCGAGCACAATAGTGCATTTTTTCCATAAATGAGAAAATGCGCTAAAAATAGGCTCGGCTTGGACCGTTTGCTCCCGTGAAATTCTGACCGATTCTTAGTCTCATTGAAGTTGTTTATTTATTTTACTTTTGTATAAAAATAAACTACAAAGTACATGTACTCTCGTGAACAGTTGATGTCAGGTCAGATAAAAAACTTTGCTGGATTCCAATCAACCCGACAAAAACGTGCACTTGAAATGAAACTGAAGATACAATTTTAACCGAAACCAAATCAATGTTCAGACCATAAAATTTTAAAGCCCCAATGTTTAGAAATTAAAAAACACAAATTAAGGTCGTCCCGAACCATTTAAAAATATTAAAGAATCTATTGTGGAAAAATTAAAATTTTCCCCGGTCTGTCTGCTGAAAACTTGGCGAGGACCGGGGCGTATTTAGAAGCTGCTTCGTACAAGAACCCTCACCGGCAACTGACCGAGGGCAACCCTCACCAGCCTCCGAGCAGCCCTCGTACGTCACTAGCATGATGGCTTCATTAAAGGGATAAAGGGAAATAGTCAGAGAGTTCTTCGAGAATCTTAATATAGAGTCCAGAACATCAATATACGCTGTCAATTTAAGATTAAACCAATAACTGTACGGAATTATAATAATCCTTAAATTATTAAATTCCGTTCAGCGTCTTCCATACGAAGAACGGAACTGAGTTTTTTAATCCTATATAGCACAATAACATGACCATAGAAAATGCAAGTGTACAAATTAATTCGAGCATACATATTGGTTTCCTGTTTTTAAACAATTATTTTTCAAAAGAGGATTATATTGTCCATTTCCATTGTCTATGCCTATCTTCAAAAATGGTAAGCATTCATTCATCACTAATGCCTATAATTTCCATCGAAAGTCAATCGATACAACAAAACATTTTGCGCTTCTATAAAATATATAATATATTATATAATATAAAATGTATTATATAATATGCAATATATTATATATAATATATTACATTATCGTATAATTTTACGCCGTTTTTTTTAAACGTTGATTATTTGATAAGCCTCGGCACGACGCACCTCTTAGTGTGCTGGAGTGCCCAAAAACGGCCGCCCTCGCGACCCTGTATCGAGGCAACCATTAGTCGAAGACGCGTATACAAACAAAAGCTGCCTTAAAGCCGCCATATTTACTAAAGCCGTCATTACCGTTTACAGCTCATTGACTAATGTTAGATCATGAAACCTCAATTGATGGAGCTTGCCCATTTATGAGTATATATAGACAGGACTTTTTCACCTAACATGGATATAATTGGGGATCAATGTATAGATCACTTGAGTGAAACTGAAATCATTGTTCTCACTTACGTTTCCAAACAGTGAATTGAAAATATCGTAGCCACACATTCAGAAAGGAAAATTTTCTGACATTAATTATCGGTTCAGCGAGCTTTAGGTACAGTGGGTTATTTCAACAGATTTAACGTATTTGAAATAAGTTTATAAAATTGTTGCTTGAATGCCATAATCTGTACGGCTGGTTGGTATCTCCGCATGCGGAATGATTATAATTATCAAATGCTTATCATTTGAATTAATAATCAAAGCACTGATAGAAGTATAACGCGCAAGAGTAGCTATCATGTGCAGTGCATTGTGATTATGAGAAATTTTAGCTCACGCCTAAAATATTAATGTACACTCTGCTTAGACAATGTTTAAACGACATGGCGGCAGAAAAAAGGAAACAGTATCTCAGCACGTGCAATTATACCCATTATACCCGAATATCCATCATACCCGAGTACCCAAATACTACACTCACATCAATCAACGCGAAACTATCATAATTGATAATTAATTACGGGCAATAAATAAAAATTTTAATTATGATTATATTTAGTGTGCTCAATGACCCGTTCTATCCATGCTCGAACGTGCTGTACATGGAGCGCCCCGAAAGGAGCCCTCAAGAAGGCGATCGTGTTGAGTGAAGCCTGCGCTGTATGAAGGGCCGCTGCTCCCACCATTAATCTGACGCTCCTTCAAACAAATAATGCTTCTACTGCTGCTGCTGTTAGTGTTGGTGCTGCTGCTGCTGTTGGTGTTGCTGCGTTGGTGCTGCTACTGTTGGTGCTGCTGCTGCTGCTGTTGGTGCTGATGCTGTTAGTGCTGCTGCTGCTGCTGCTGGTGCTGCTGCTGTTGGTGCTGCTGCTGCTGCTGTTGGTGTTGGTGCTGTTGGTGATGCTGCTGTTAGTTTTGCTGTTGTTGGTGTTGCTGCTAATGGTGTTGCTGATGTTGATGCGGTTGGTGCTACAAATGCTGTTGGTGCTGTTGGTGTTCTCATTCCTGCTGCTATCGGAGTAAGCAGCACTATAGGTCCGTAGTAGAATTCCAAATAATTAAGTGCGCATAATAGAGCAAGAGCCCACGTATAGACAAGCAGAGGTAAGATGTACGGGAAACTTGTCTGTAACGACTGGTGCAAAAGCAGTGAAAATCGATTGGAATAAGAGATGTCGTAATGAATAGAAAATAACAATGGCCAAAATATCAGACTACCTCGGTCATATCAAGCTCTCATTATCTAATTTAAGGTGCCTCGATTGTATAAGTATGAGCTGCATGAATGTTGCGCTGCAAAAGACTGTAATAAATTGCAATATAATTATAGCGTCTTAATTGAGCCGCAATGTTACGATGAATTATAAGGAGAGGCAGCACAACCTTCACGCGGACAGACAGCTACAGTCGACGGCAGAAGTAAACACATCTGCTAGAATTTTAGTTAAAAGTTTCAAATGACCGTGGATGTATAATATAACTGGTGACACCTCAAATTTAGCAGTTCTACTAGAAGGAATACTGCGATACCCTTGAACCAGAATTAATTTATTATGGAGATACGAGCTCGTATATAACCTAGTTTTGCGCTATCAATGATGTACAATGACGGAAAGAAAGCTGATGTCAGAGAGCTGATATAAAATATCGCTAATTATACAATAGGATATCGTTACTATAAATGCGTATTATGTAGTGAATGATTTATTTTTTATTGAATGCTGGTCCTAAGATTCGATGATCAGGGATGTAATTCAGACATTTTTAGCGCAAAAATAAGGCTTGATCTGTGCTCTTAACATACACGCATTTGAACTGTGCGCTAAACTGATGCTCCCAACAAACAGCCTAATGAACCCGCTAATCGACATCATTCTAGGAAATCATCCTCTTGAGTTCACTGATAACAAATCTTAATCCTACCCTGTTTATGTTCCGCTTTGGATGGGGTTTTATCGTTCAAAATTACTTGTTCCGCATATATGGTTGGTTGAATCAAAAATGTAACATTAACCTAATATAAGAAGTCCTTGCAAACTATCATTTATCTTATCTTGATAGTTAATATGAGTTCTGAATTAGATTTGAGTTTTTGTCTTGCGTCGATAATGAAAGCATTTTCCTAGAAATGGTAGATTACGGAGCTCTACGATGAAATTATAATCGTTGAAATTTAAACTTGAAATGCAATATATTCGCTAAATTTATAATAAATTCATGATTAGCGTTATCTACGAATAAATTCTATATTTATATTATAGAAAAACATAATTACAAAATTTTCGAAGTTTAAACTTCTTTTATTTAGTGTTCGATAGTCTATGTTGTCCGAGATCCGCGTTACACGAAACCGCACGAAATGCCGCAAGTATTCTCAGCAGGTGACTCAGCTCTCGTTGCAATCAATTGTCCAGACGTTTCTCCCTCTACCGCCTGACACGAGTAACTGGAGCAATATTGTCACAAGCCTACTTCCCAAAAAATATAACTCAGTACTCACTGCAGTGAGTGACAGAAAGCGCATTTTCTCGTCGACGAAAACGTGAAGTCACGGACAGACAGACGGACATGACGAGCACATAATAGGTTAATAGCACTTTTTTCCTTAAATGAGAAAATACGCTAAGAAGGATATGTTCTGTGAGCGCAAAATGACTTGCACTGATGGTTGCCGTCACGTGCGCCAACTTTAAAATGATCTCTGCTACGTATATCTATAAAAACATCCTCATGCTGCTACACTCAATAGTTTATGTATAATTTAAGTTGGAAGTTATGTTCCCGGAGAGTGACATACGGCGGTAGAGGGAGAGCCTTGTTGATTTCTCCATGATCTTATGTTAATTAATTGCTATGCTCATCGTAGTGGTTAATATTGAGCTTGTTTCATTCGCACTAGCTGAAATTTACAGGGTCTAAATA